GGGGGGGAGAGTAGAGGTGGGTGGGGGGTGTTTGGCATTGAAGTGAAAGGTGTATGGCGTGAATCTCCCCTTTGTGGCAATGCCCTTGAGTTAACCAGTGAGGCATTGAATGGTGCATTGTGGATGGGCAGTTATCTCCAAGGCTTCCCGTTCAGTGTTATTAGAAAACACATGACAGCAATGCTAGCTCTTATCGAACAGAAAGCTTCAAGGCTGTGGAGACAAGGTTGAGAGGAAAATCTGCAGTAGGCGAGTGAAATGGCAACATTTGACACCCTGTCATTCTCTACGCAATTTGGCAATCAGATACCACATACCACATTACAGTGAACGCATGCATGCACTCAGTACCCATGCAACATATATAAGGGATGCTGAATAAGAAAGTATTATCGCTAGGCAGTATGTTCCCATTAATAAATGCTAGAGATGCCTAGAGCTGATCCTAATCTTTGGTAACAAAGCCAATCTGGGCATGTATTAAATCATCGGTGTCGCTTTAATAAACCTGATCAAATGCCAATCTTTCGTTTATTTGCTGAATGTTATTTTTATTTGAATTGCTGAGCATCAATATTTGTACTACATCTTTTGTCTGTCAGTCAGCGTGCAAAACATTTAAGGAGCAGCTCCTCATTTTGAGCTGTCACTGACCACAGCTATCGCCGGTTAAAGTGACAAATGTAACTGGCAGCAGCTCAGCCAAAGGTCATTTGTGAGGGAAGAACCTCCACTGAACAGAGCGATACGTCTTTTCTAGTAAAACATTTCTGCTGATCACATCATGTTAATGTCAGGAGTTTCATAGTCAGCTGTATTTTCTTTTTATTTAGGATACATTACCTGAAATTAAAACATGCCAAAATACTGACTAGCTGCATCAACTAACCTAGAAAGACACAACTTGATTTTAAACAGGGAAAGGAACCTGAGTAATCCATACATGGAGCAGGAATATGAAGTTACATCAACACATTTGAAATGAAAACTTTGCTTTTTATTCGAGCAAACAGAAGGATTTTGTTCCAATCAATCCCACCTCTTATGGGAATACCAAGTACAAAAGCACTTCTATTGACCAGATTCCAAAGTCTCAATATCCCATAGACAAAACACAATAGCCTTTTGATTGCTCTGTCCAACACAGACTCT